GCTGTCAGCCAGCCCTCCGTCAGCCCCGCCGAGGCACCCCGGGAAGACGACGAGGACGTGGACCAGCTTTTTGGGGCGTATGGCACGACGCCTGCAGAGCAGCCAGCCAAATGCCAGGTGCCTGAGGAGGTGGTGGACCCTGAGGGCTACGAGTCCGACGACTGCAGTGAGTTCCTAAGTTTCTACGGGAGCTGAGGGCGAGGGTGGGTCTTAGGACTGGTCCCCCATCTTGCTGCCTGTGCCGTGTGCCCTTCCTAGCTGCCAGCCACGCTCTTCATCCCTGGGATTGCGTTGCAGCAGGGAGAAACCCTCTGCTCCGGGTAGAGAGGCTGTCACAGCACCGCTCTGGCGCTGGCCCTGGGTGGAGGGAGGCCCTGGGAGTCTCCCTGCTGCAGCCACACTGGCCGCTGGACCCAAACTAGGGAAGTCTCCCAAGAGCCACCAGTTGCTGTGCTTTGCCGTTTTGGTTGAGGCACTTCTCTGTCCCGTCCCTGCTCGGTTTCGTGCCTCTGAAGGCTGCCCAGCTGGGCTCAGACCTTTTGGTTAATCTTCCGCGGTGGTGCAGCCTGCTCCAGCCACGCTGCTGATTAGCTGGCGAAAGGCTCCGGCATCGCCCGGCTCCAGATTGAGGAGATCTGTTCAGAATGAGATCTGCCCGGGGAAACCTCTGCCCTCTCCCTCGGCAAACTCTGGCGTGTCATTCCTCACCCTCCAGCTGCAGACAGAGCCCTCTGCGAGACCAAGGGGGCTTTTGAACAGAAGGCTTTAGTTCGGGTAGATGCAGGTGTTTGCAGCGAGGTTTAACCCCTCCATTCCCAAAACGTCCTTCCCACCCAGCTCGGTGGAGCTTGCAGGCTGCAAAGCAGCTGCTGCCTGGCTCTGCCAGCCACAGCGGCTGGGATACCGTTGCTTTCCTTGAGGTTAAAACCCAAGGTCTCAATTCAGCCCAGTCTTTAGGGGCCAGATCCTGCAAGGGGCTGAGCACAAAGTTTGAAGCTGGGAGATGCCGAGGAAGGGAGCCAGTGCTGCTGAGCGGTGCTGCGTGCTCGTCCTAGGGGAAGGAGGAGGCTGAGCTCCCACAGCGCTGAGCTGTTTACGGCCCAGCGCCGGGCTGGCAGTGCCTTTCCCTGGGCAAAATGTCACGGCATCATTCCCTCTCTGACGGGCACTGGGCTGGCCTGGGCTGCTGCCATCTGTGCCAAACCCCAGAGCGTGAGCCCAGAGATTGCTCCCCGAAGGGGTTTGCTTGCTGCAAGGCGGCGCCGCCACCCCTGTGCCCCCCTCGCGTCTGCTGACCCCCAGCCACAGCACCGGGAGAGGTTGGGGCTCTGGGTTCAAGCCCCAGACTGACAATCTCTCTCTCCCCATCCTAGCGTTGAGATCGTGTTCTCTTTGGAGGAGGCGAGAGCTGCTGCGCGGCCAGGGAGAACATCGCTGCTAAGCCACGTTTGTCCCCGCCGGGCAGTTAACAGTGACTTTAACCGGATTTGGGTTATTTGCTGCTCTAATTATCAGGTCGTCTTGGCTGATGCCAGCAATAGAAACGGGAGCAACTGGGCTTCAGGGGCAGAGGTGTGTGCAGGAGCAGAAGTGCTCAGGACCCTGGGGTGCAGAGCTTTCACCAGGTGACTCGTGGGGAAATCGCCCAGGGTGCTGTGTCTGCGTTTCGCCCTGCAGGCACTGCTGGAAGCGGCTCAGCTCTGTGCCAGGGGCCAGCGAGCGTTTGTCTCACCCTGGCTGGTGTTTCTTGCAGCGTAACAGGTGTCAGGCAAACTTCTGAGGCTGTTTTGCCAGATGTGGTAGGTTTCCTGCTGGCAAAGGCACAGCAGTGCCGAGAGCAGAGCAGGGAGGTGGGGCTGCTGGTGTTACATCTCTGGGGACAGCGTGGGGTGGCCTCAGCTGCTCCCAGGGCTCTGGCTGGCATAAACGTGCAGGATGAGACTGTCACTCCTCCATGTTTAGCAGCCAAGTTATGAAGCCAGGCGAGGGCTCGCTGGCCCCGTTTCCCAGACGGGGATCTGGGAGGGCATTTGTGCAGCATGACTTGAGCCATCAGCTACTCTGGGTAGCGTCTTTCAGTTCCCCATGTCCCTGGCAGGTGATTCAGGGCTGCTGCATTAGTCACCTACACTAAATTTCCCCTGGGGAAAGTGTCTCCGTCTGCATGGCGGGACAGCACTGAGATTTGGGTGGCGTCAGTTCCCTCGGGTGACACGCGGGGTTCGGTGAGTTGACTGAGGTCTCTGGGGGTGGCGATGTTGGAGCTTGGCTGCAGTACCTTTGAGCTGAGGTCTTGCCAGGCAGGGGCACATCTTGCCTCACTTCCCAGAGATGCTCGCAGCACAGCGCCAGAGAGGTGCAGAGAGAGGGATTTTTCCATGGCAGGATCCATAGGGAGGAGGAGGAGAGGAGAGCTCCTTCGCATTTGTCCCACCTGCCTGCAGGTTTTCCTCCTCCAGCACCAAAGCGATGGTGCTGGCTGGCTGGGTGGGAGGAGTAGAGCTGCTCCTGCCTGGAGAAATGCAGCATTTGTCTGCTTTTCCCTCTACACTTATTCCTGCCTGGGGTTACTTCTCCAGCCTGGTGTTTCTGGATTTCCAGCAGCACGGCTGCGGAGACTGGGGCAGGGCAGGTCCTGCTGCAGCTCTCCCGGGCTGACTCCCTGCGCCGTGTCTCTTAATCCTTTGCTGAGTTTTGTTCCTGACCCCACCAGCGATCCTGGGAGGTGCCTGCAGAACTGGCAGGAGCTCCTCTCCTCCAAACGGCCTCTCCCTGGGATATGGGCAGCCCCAGAGCGGAGCAGCCCTGGGAGAAGCATCAGTGTCTGCTCCCATCCAAGCAGGGCAGCTCGACGCAGCTGTTTGGCATCCACAGGGAGCAGGGACATTGGTGTGTGCATGTATGTGTTTGGTGCTGTGGAAAACCAAGAATCCCAGGGCTGCAGGAGGCAGGTGCGTCCCTTCAGAGATGGGCAAGGCCCTGGCTGAGGTGCAGTAGGATGGGAAGGGACCTGCTGACCTGGCCTTAGTTACTGGGAAGCTGATGCAGAGGCTGAAGTTGATGACTCTGGGGCGTGTGGGGCTGAGTTCAGTGGTTTGGGGCAGCACAACGCAGAGCTGGGGAGTGCAGTGCTCAGGGGAGCTATGGGGCACCTGTAACCAGCCTGTTGAATGCAGCGAGCAACAGGGAGCAGGCAGGGCTGGGGAGCTGACAGAGCAGGTAACAAGCAAAGACACCGGGACGGGCTCTGGGAGCAGCAGGGCTTGCGTGGAGCCAGCCCTTCCCATCGGTCCCACCAGCTGCCGCGGTCGTGGTGAGCACCCTGGGTAGCAGGGCCCTTGGGAGGGGGACTCGTCACTACCCTGTGCCCCCTCTGTCTGCGGGGATGCTCTGGGATGGGAGCCCAAGCTGTAACAGAGCAGCACTCTTCCCGCAGTGGTTTTGCCCCCAGCGGAGCTTCTGAGGAGGGGGAATGCGGCGGGAGAGGTGGGGAAACGCGTTTTGTGCAAATCCCGCAGAAATGTGGCTCAATGCCCTGAGACCGGTGCTAGCATCTGCTGTGAGCTGAAGGGACCGGCCGGAATTAGGGACTGGGAAGGGGAGGATTCACTCCTACTGCCTCGGGACACCCGACTGTCACCTCATCTTTAATTCCCCTGGTTGGTACCTGGGGACAGCAACAGGGTCATGTGCCCTGGGGTGCCCAGGAATGATTCCCACCCGGTCGGGCAGCACGCTGCCAGGGAAACTTGGTTCAGGGAAATGCCAGCTAGGTGGCAATGTACCACCTGCAGGGAGCCGGCTCTTGCCTCCCACCTCCCTTTATTCCACGCAAATCGCTGCCCCCTAAGTGGCTGCACTTTCGCCTCCACATTCACTAGTGGGAAATTGTACCTGACAGGTTTTTTGAAAGGTCTCTGGAATCTCTGCAAGAAGCAGCACAGAGGTGGAAACATTGTCCCTCTGAGGGAATGCTGAGCCGTGGCTGCTCTTGCCAGGGGACAGCGCTGGAGGGAGCAGCCATCCTTCTTCCATAATGTGCAAGCAAGTGTCTAGCCCTGGAAGAAATGCTATGTTCCCCTGAGCTGCTGTTTGGCTTTGGAGCGAGGCTGTGGCCAGTGCTGGAATTTCCTCCCTCCTCCATATGGGTTTGACTCTGGGTTTTTGGACGGGGAGGCAGCCTGCGAGCAGAGGATTGCAGTGGGAGCTGGTGTTTCTGGAAGAACTGCCCCATACTGTTCCTGTCATTGCGCCAGGGCTCTTTCTATATGTACAGACCCAGCCAATTCTGTAGTGTGCCCGTCTTTATTCATGGGAGGAGAAGGCTCACGAGCTCCTAGGCTGCAGCAGCATCAAAACGACTTCTCCAAACTACAGCTGAGATGCCTGTCCTGCTCGTGACGCCTGCTGCAAGCAACGGCACAGAAGTTATTTAGGAAGGCTCTTATTTTGGGCAAAGAAGATAATTAGGCAGGCAAAGCCATCACGCAGATATTAATTACTGTCTGCTTAAAGACTTAAAAAAGAATGAAGGTCTTAAGGGGTGCGGGGTTTGCAAGTCACCTGGCAATGCTTTTGGCCAGACAGGAGGATGAAAGAGAGATGACGAGGGGAAATGTGCATCGAAATGGTGAGGATATTTACTTCTGAAACACAGCTCCTTAGCATATGCTGCCACTGCTATTTATAACCTTTGAATCGTCTTTTCAATCCAGATAAAGCCAAAAGAAGTATTTTTTTTTAATTTTTTTTTGCTCAGGAAACTAAACAAACCACCACTGATTTCGGCAGAGCCTGGAGCATGATTTTGCCAACCCAAGCTGCCTATGCCAAAGAAACGCATACAGGTACCGGGCAGTGTCGGACACGAGGTTTAAGGGCATCGGGGGGCTTGTAGCCCTCCCAAGGGACACAGGGGGTGTTAGATGAGGCGAGTCTGAATTAGCTCCTGCCTGGTTTCCCACAGGATACCCCGGTATCAAGAAGATGCTGGTCTGGGATGAGCTCTCGCCCTTTCCTGCTAGCCCCCAACAGTGGTCCGGGTGTGCATCGGGTGCTTCTGGGTCTTCCAAGGAGCCTCCAGCCCCTGGAGATGCTCGTTCCCAGGGGGTGACTGTGGCCAGGGACAACCTCAAATGCTGGAGAGAAGTGCGGGGCACCCGGTGA